TTGCCGAAACCGGTTTGGCTCAGTGGATAGAGCGTCGGCCTGCGGACTGAAAGGTCCCAGGTTCGATTCCTGTCAAGGGCATGTACCTTGGTTGTGGGCACATCCCCAGTAGGAGATGTGCAGGAGGCAGCTAATCGATGTTTCTCTCTCATCGATGTTTCTAACTTTCTATCTCTCTCCCTTCCTCTCTGTAAAAAATCAATAAAATATATTTTTTTAAAAAAAGTGTTTTTATTTCTGTATACTTAAATATCTCCAGAAGATATTACTATTATAAAATACTATATATAGTAAACAATGTTTATAACAACTTTTTTGAAAGACTAAAGAAAAGTAAGTCTAGGGTAACATGAAATACTTTTTAAAAAAATTGATTTTGAGAGAGAGAGGAAGAGAGATGGAGAGAGAGAGAGATTGGTTGCCTCTGCACACACCCCAATTGGGCTGGGGATCGAACTTGGGACCCCGGTAAATGCCCTAACTGGGAATTGAACTGCGACCCTCCAGTGCATGGGATGCTCCCAGTGGTCGGCAAACTGCGGCTTGTCAAACTGCAGCTCACGAGGCACATGCTGCTCTTTGGCCCCTTCAGTGTGGCTCTTCCACAAAATACCGGCTCTTCCACAAAATACCGACTTCTGCACATGGGCCACGAAGTTTCAATTGCACTGTACGTGTGCGTCTGCACATGGTATTTTGTGGAAGAGCCACACCCAAGGGGCCAAAGAGCCGCATGTGGCTCGCGAGCTGTGGTTTGCCGACCATGGCTGTAACCAATTGAGCCACACTGACCAGTGCAACATGAAATACTTGTAAGTTAGATTCTCATAAAAAGAAATATACTTGCTGTTGGATTTTAAGATTGACATTTGACATGTGCCTTTGAAGTTGCTGGTACATTTATGGGAAAGTGTGAGCTTGATGACAGGTTGTGCTTCATATATTTGTTTCTGTGGTTAGATGACACTCTTGTCTTCCTTGTCTTTTCAGGAGACCAGCATAAGTACTTTGGGTACTGAGAGGATAGGCCACATCATTAGTGACTCCCGGCAGAAAGAGTAAGTGCTTATGTATTTACTGGATATTCTAATCTGTTCCTTGGAGAAGGAAGAAGTGGAAAGTTTTACAAAGGAACCTAGAAATCTGACTTTAGAGCTGAAAGAGGAGATCTTTTTTTTTTTTAATACTATATTTTTATTTATTTCAGAGAGGAATGGAGAGGGGGAAGAGAAACATCAATGATGAGAGAGAATCATTGATTGGCTGCCTCCTGCACGCCCCTTACTGGGGATCGAGCCCACAACCCAGGCCTGTGCCTTTGACCAGAATCCAACCCTGGCCCCTTCAGTTCGCAGGCCGACGCTCTATCCACTGAGTAAAACCAGCTAGGGCCTGAAAGAGGAGATCTTAATAGTCAACATGGGTAATGCCCTAAACCTATGAGAATTACTATTTTTTTCCTTTCTAGACTAGTTTTTATTTCTTTGCTTTTTATATCTATAGGTGCTGCATTTTAAAAGTAGCCTCCAATGAAGATGCTACATTTTAAACTCATTTTTCTGTCTCTTAAAATTGATTTTGTTCAAAATGGGTGATTGCCTCTAAATTTGCTTATATTCCCTCCTCATTTTTAGACCTCTATATAGAGAAATATTTTTTTTTGTCCTAACTACTGTGATAAGTACAACTAAAAAGCCTATGTATAGCTATGGGAAAGTCATTCCATCCCTTCTTGTGACAGCCTGGTCTCCTAACATGATTGGCTCTTTGTTGTTTCCTGAACACGTCATGGTCAGTACCCAGTTATGGTCTATACCAGTGATGGCGAACTCATCTTTTTGGTTGATTTTTCTTTGTTAAATGGCATTTAAATATATAAAGTAAGTATCAAAAATATAAATCTTTGTTTTACTATGGTTGCAAATACCAAAAAATTTCTATATGTGACACGGCACCAGAGTTAAGTTAGGGTTTTTCAAAATGCTGACACGCCGAGCTCAAAAGGTTCGCCATCACTGGTCTATACCTATCTAGCCTGGGTGAATTTTTAATGTACAAAATAGGCAAGATGTGCATGTAGTTTATGCCCTAGTTGAATTGGAGACCCTGTTGTCACTGCACAGCTGAGAGCATTGTTTTCACAGTCTAATCAAGGGTTTATTTGTAGAGTGTCCAGTCTTTTACATTCCATTACAAAGCTTTTCCTTTGAAGAGTTATTTTCTGCAAAAAGTTCAGACACATTAACATCTCTTTTCTTTTCTCCTCCAATTCCATCTTTTCCCATTTCTTTCTTTGTCTTCTCTTCATTATGCAAACATCTTTTTATCTTCTCCCTCCCTCTGTAATTTTCCTACTACTTCTTTTATTGTTTTCTTTACTGTTATTCTCTTCCTCTCTCTAGTGTCTGGTTACCATCAGCTGGGAAAAGGGAACGAAATCAGGTAAGGTCTTTTCTTTATTTTATCTCTATTTTATCACTTGATTTTCTTTTCTTTAGAAAGAATAAAGTGTTGGCTTCTGATTTTCCTTCCCTTTCTGCTTGTGCACATGAGGTAAGGTTCCTGTTCCCTATCTTGTTCTCATTTTCTTGGAGGACTGTTGCCCAAGAATAGGTACTCACTGATAAGACCTGTAGCTACTTGTTAAGTTCAGCTGTAATCTTTAGTTTATTACTTGTAACACATATTTCATAGGAATCCCATTTTAATTTTAATTTTGAACTTTGCAGTAAGAAATCAGAATGAACCTCATCTGCTTATTGTTTAGTTCAGCAGCAGACTCTTGTGCTGAGAAGTACACTGTTGAAGCCTACACATATGAAACAGAAGAAGTCTACGTAGAGCTGCTTTGGGTGAAGTGGAGTTGAGGGCTTAGAGCCTTGCCCTCTTAGTCTTGTCCCTAGCTACCCACTGAGGGAGCCCTTGGCACATCTAGTCCTTTGTTGTAGGGGACATAATTTAAAAACTATCGATTGTGGCTATTGTTCCTTTATGTTTGAACCTTTGGTTTTGGAAGAGTGGTTGCTTTATCTTGGTGATTAGTTATAAAATAGATGTAATCATTATATCAAACTTGTTATTTCATAGAAATAGAGTAAGGACAATGCTGAAGAATAATAATTGTTATAAAAATATTAAGTAAATAGTGCAGGTGGTGGCCAAATATGGAAAAAGTCATTAAGGTCGTATGTGAAAGACTTTAGGGAACTCCAAGCTAGAGTGCTCATCATGGTTGCCTCAGAGGATCTAAAGGCAGAGGGGATCTTTGGGGATGTATTATTTACAGATGAGGTTTAATCTGTTTGTCCCAAGTCATAGAGCTTGTAGAACCGCGACTGGAACCTCTGACACAGAGAACAGTTCCATAGTTTGTATTCTCTTAAGTTCTTTTGTAATGACCATTTGGAGTTCTTTCAGTCTTAAAATATATTTAGTTCTGAAATTTTGGGGAGGTTTATTTATTGTGGAAAAAGTCTAAAGAAAGTAGCAAAGGTAAAGTAAGGTACTTTTATGTATAGTGTCCCACTTGATCCTTGCAACCACCTTTTGAGGTCCATAGATGTTTTATAGATGATAAACTGAAATCCTATATAATAAAAGCCTAATATGCAAATTGACCCAATGGTGGAATGATCAGTCGCTATGATGCACACGACCACCAGGGAGGCAGATGGTCAGTGCACTCCTACATGGGGAGCACTGCTCAGCCAGAAGCCCTGAGCTGGGCTCATGGCTGATGAGCGCATGGCGATGGCAGAAGCCTCTTCTGCCTCCATGGCAATGCTAAGGGTGTCTGACTGCTGGCTTAGGCCCACGCCCCATGAGTCAGTCAGACATCCCCCAAGGACTCCCAGACTGCAAGAGGGCAGAGGGTGCAGTCCAGGCTGAGGGCCCCCCCCCCCC